ATGATGATGATGATGATGATTGACAATGTGTATGTACAATGATGATGATGATGATGATTGTCAATGTGTATGTACGACGATGATGATGATGATGATGATGATGATGATGATGATGATGATGATGATGATGATGATGATGATGATGATGAGGTTGATGACGTGTATAAATGACTATGATTGAGAAACGCATGCTTCTGTCTACAAGTGAGAGTTTGTGTGTAATGTCTGTTTGATGTAGATGTAACAAAAAACTTGAAAAAATAAAACAATATAAAAAAAAAATTACCCGTCATTATCCCAGATTGATGTTCTATTTGTTTCAGTTTATAATTAAAGACTTATTTACCTGCGCATTCTCAAGTTTTTGAATCTTTCATATCCTCTCCGGGTAGCTGACGATTTTTCTCTTGCTCCTGAGGTGACGTTTTGGACCATTCGTTTGTTAGCACCGTTTTGCTTTGCAGTGGTTTGTTGGTATTTTCTTCGATCCTGTTTTGTGTTCCCTCGTTCGTAGTGTCGGACCTCTGGACCTCTCGCCGGTAGACTGTTTTGTCCTATTCTCTTGGCCGCAACCAGGAAGAATAAAACACAAGTCAGCTGACAAATATCGTTCTCTTATCGATATTGTAAATCTTTCTGAATTCCTCTATGCGTTTCATCTTATCGAACGGGCCCCACATAGATTAAATCTCACGTTTACCTATTTGTTATCAGTAAATACATGCATGCTCAGGTGAATCAGTATGATTATTACAATAAGGTTATTGCCTGTTTATAGACGATAGATTATTTATCAACCTAAAATATAACCAGCACTTATGTGGATAGCATTAGTACATTGCGATGAATGTCATAGCAACAGTAAATGTACCCTGATGGCGCAGCTCAGCGGCCATTTAAATCCCGCCATAACGGGATGTCAGAATGAAACACGAATGAACAGAATAGATAAATGAACATGTAAAGATTTCATGTATTTCAAATAGGACAGAAGATCAGTTGTGATATTGTTTTTGTTTCCTAAGAAAGATGAACTTGTACAGCATCAACATGTACCAACAGTGATCAATGTTAATGCTTATATTATTAAATTTCGCCAGGTAAAATATGCACGAGGGACATTTAATGCATTTTGTCATTGGTATCAGATATTACATGTATGATGCATATAATTTGATCTTTCTATTACAATCCTTCGAAATACCCCCTTAACAGACAGGAACTTTCAAAATCACGCTATTCATGATGTAAACGTTGTGCGGTAGTCTCCCCTTGGTACACTGGATAGAAACTTTTTACTAATTAGATGCATATCGTTTACCAGAGAGAATTTGTTTTAGTGAAGGAAATGGGAAGAAGTCAGAAGGACTTAGATCTGATGAATAAGGTGGGTGGTCAATATGTACTACCTTTCCCTTGCTTCAAAAACGCTTGTACAATATTGCTTCTGTGGGCAGAACGATTGTCGTGAATTAGCTGGACGCCATTCAATCCTTTCCTTGGACGTTGTTTTCATGTAGCATCGTTTGCCAGTATATAGTACTTAGACTCTGTAAACATGGCAGTGATACTTTTCTTTTCTTTGCACGGTATCTGAACCACAGGTAAACTAAAATTGAAAAGAAAAATAACATACAATCTTGCAATCCCCTGGCCTTTCTTTATTTCTCGGCGGCCATTGATTGTTATTAATACGCCTCTGGGGTTCAAAGTAATAGACCCAGGTCTCATACCGTGTAAGTTACTCAGATAGCTTTCTTGGCTCGCAATTTCTATACATTTTCAATAAAAAAAAATATTACATTTCAAACGTTTGGCCTTTTGTTCAGATGTCAGAAAATGAGGGATCCATCGGGCACAAACCTTCTTTAATTTCAAGCACTTTGTCAGATTGAGATATATACTGCCTTCAGAAATGCCAAACTATCTACAGCAACAATGTTCTTCTCTAAATCTCAAACAACTGGCTTACCTGCCAGGGTGTTTACCTTGATATCAACTTTACCATTCTTGAATTTGTTAACAAACCTGAAAGCAGTTCTTAATGTGACGACACTTGTGCCTCTTACACAACTCCTGGATGTTTATGTTTTTTGAGGTATCTGTATAGCACACCGTGATCTAATATATGTGCTAATTTCAAATTTAGTACCAACCGTCTTTTTTAGCATTGAAAAGCAGCCGCCGCTACAAGTTGTCACGAATACATAACATTAAACAATGAATAACTTGCTCAATAATAGTCAGATGATGTCGAAAGTTTGCACGTGCATTGTTCTTTAAATACTGTTGCGGTGCCAATGCGTTAAACTGTTCTATTTCCCGTTCGTACGGGAGCTTTGTGGTGACAGAATTTATTGAATGGCTCTTATATCAGGTTATATTTTTTATTTTTTTTCTGGCGATATACTGTTATATCTTTTCGATGAGAAGTGGCATAAATGAGAGAGATATATACTATCGTAGCTATTTTAAAGTGTAGAAATAGCATTCATAGTCTTAGTACTACTGGTACAACTGCGCGGCTACGCACCCGGAAAATATCGCGCACAATTCAGTTTGTCTAAGACACTTTGGCAGTTACACCAGTAAGTATGACATATATGTATATGCAGTTTATTGTATTTAGTCAAATAACACCATTAAAATTGGTCAGATAATGAAAATATTTATCCCATAACGAAAATGTACATAGTTGATAATGAGTGTGACATTACCGGAAGTCAACGTCCAGTGAGGTCAGTTTTGTGTTTTGGGAATGCTGGTGTCAATTTTGGCCACGACCGAAATAGCGCAATATCTGGGCCCTTCAGTGAGAAGGACCCGACCACACAGTGTAAGTGATTCCGATTTCGTTCAAAATACATTATTGTGGCTTTGCATTTACACAATACATCGCAAACAAGAATTATAAGTATTATAATATATAAATCTAACGAGATATTTCTGTTCACATCTGGATTGGAATAAAAAGAAAAAGGAATAATTAGGGTAAACAAGCAAGAGGGTACCAAACCGCACAAAGTTAGTATGCTTTAACGCAAAATAAATTATGCATTTACTACGATGATTGAGGGATAATTTGGAAGATGTTGTTGATTCAGAAGAAATGCCGATACTTGTATTCCAAAAAAGTTAGCAGAATAAAGCGAGAATACTTCAGTATTTGTTAGAAGTTCACCGACAGCTGCCGCTAAAATGTACGGTTATATCTTCACATGGCTACTGCAGCAGAGATTCCATTGTTGATGATGTTAATAAGCTGGCATCGTGTTTCATAATTAATCAGTATTTTAAAGTTATAACCTATCATTCATACAGTACATTTGTCTTTGTGTGTCACTTATACTTAGCTCTGTCATACGTCCTTGAAGTTGTTGTTCGCCTGAGGTACGACGGAGTCAGTTTGCGCCTTTAGAGGTTTTACATGTATCTGTTCGTGTACGTTTCTAATGGTTGAGTGTATCTATAGTATAGCATATTTAGTATGCTCATAGGCAAAAACTCAAGATTCTGGCATTTCTTTGTCTGCTGCTTGGTATCAAAAGGTAGCTACTTCCTTGTTGTGGGTTATCTTCCGTTTTTAAGGCATGTTCTTTTCGTTTTTTTGGCTTTTACCCCAGGGGCTACGCTCACTTTCACTATCGACATCCCAGGAATATGTTATATAAAAATTGAAGGCACGCAGCTAGCTATTTGATTGGTCTCGGGCAAAAGGTGCCAACAATCGCTAGGCTGAAACCTGTCCATAGAAGATTACTAAGGAGCGACACCCGAATTCAAAGCCAGTCAAGTTCACCGTTACCCGACCGCGAGATTCTTTGGATGTACACCCAAGATATTTTTGTCTCATCGATAAGGTGTCGCACACTGAGCCTTCGATTTTGTCCTGACATTTTCAGGGGTGCAGAAAGCGTATATGTAAGTGAGTGTAACCCCTGGAGTATCGAGGATCCTGTGTAGTCTTTTTAGCAGATATACCACTGACAACATCACATGCTAGTAGTACCTGTACGTGTTATTCATCCTGTACACACAACACACAATATTGTCAAGGCGACCCACTCTCCTGTATCTGCGATACTCTAGAGGTCATGCTCACTTTCGCTCTCGGCACCCCTGGAATCATACAAGTGCCCTGGAATATGCCATAGCAAAATTAAAAGCGCGCGGCTAGCTATTTTATTGGTCTTTAAACAAAATACCAATAGCTTGGTTGATATCTGTCCTTTGAAGATTACAGAGGAGTGACACCCGACTTCAACGCCAGTCAATTTTACCATTATGCGACCGCGATATTCTTTTTATGTACATCGAAGGACCAACTTAGGCTTCTTGTCTCACCCGCAAAGTGGAGCACATTGAGCCACGATTTTGCTATGGAGCATCGAGAATGTCTCTCCTGTATCGCTAGTTAAGTGACTGACACATAACACTTACAATACAACGTTTCATTTTATTTCAAAATAATGTATAATAATACAAGGAACATGAACACGAGACACAACAAGCAAACCAAAATTATTTTCCATTATGGGGGAAAACAATCATTAAATGATATAAGTAAATACACATATAAGCCTTCAATATTGTCACATGCAATAAATCACTGTTAGAATTGTGTATGATATATAGGGTAAGCATTGGGTGCACCCGTATACCTACCCGCCGTGTCACTCCCGTCCGCCCCTATACCACAATGACGTTAGCGCTGGGTAGGGAGACCGGGACAAGTTGAGCAACTTTGCATTTTTTTGCTTTAAAAAAAAAAGGAATAAAAGAACAATGCATCTTTTGAATTTAACAAAAAAAGTACCCGCAGTTATCTCTATTTAGTATGCTCAAAGATTTGGAAACTAATTCCAGTCAGTGAAGTGTGGCTCAACTTACATGGAATGCAGGCTATGAGACGGTGAAAGAAATTATTGAATTTCAAATGCTTGAACAATTTACAAACATTCAACATCGTCACGGAATATTTAAAATCATTAGTAAGACAGGCCAAAATGAAAATAATTATCTCTTTACCACTTCTAAGAACCGGTTCCAAACACCATTTACCAGCTAGGTTATAAAACAAGTATTCTATACTCAAAATAATCATTCTTGTTTGCCTGAATGGTCCAAGAGCGCCTGCGGAGGGTTTTACGTTATTTCGTGACTCCTTTAATCTTCATCAAAGACAGTAAATCTCTACTACCACGGTCACGTGCCATCATGTAATTTGGCATACAGCTTAAGGATTATCTCGAGTTTTTATTGGTAATATCAATAAAAGTATCCGTTCTAACTATGATGACTGCGTTACTTGGCCATAACAATTTTCACAGCAAAATTTAATATTGTGTCTGGCGGAATGATGTCAAAGTACGTACAACGTCTTTTAGGCTGGGATGATTGATAATATCTCAATAACAAGGGGGCACACCAACCGTTTATACAAAAGTGAGAACCATTAGCCGAAGGATGCTCCAGACTAAATTAGGATTAAAATCCCTTAATCCCTACGGTAGAAGAAGGATTTTAAAGGTTTTACCTCTATTTTCATTATTTGGCCCTGTCCCTCTGTCCCTACGGGGGCCAAACCACCACTTATACAAAATTGTGTCACCTTGGCACAAGGATGCTCCAGACTAATTTAAGATAAAATCAATTAATCCCTACGGTAGAAGGATTTTAAAGGTTTTACATCTATTTCCCCTATTCGTCCCAGCCCCTCTGTCCCCAGGGTGGCCACACCCACCGTTTATACAAAAGTGAGTCCCCTAGGCCTAAGGATGCTCCAGACCAAATTTAGTCAAAATATACTTGGCCGTTCAGGACTAGTAGCGTTTTAAAGGAAAAGTTGACTGACTGACTGACGGACGGACGGACGCCGGACGCTGCGGTATGGCATAAGAATAGAACATAGAATCCTCGGATTTTAATTAAGGATGAAGACCTACCAGCAGATCCTCGCCTGAACAAATATCCTAGCCAGTTAATGCTTTTTAACGTAAAAGCTTTCAGATGACGCCATACCTATATAAAAACCCACTCTCGGTAAGACAACCACCTGTTCAATAGCCTCCAAATGGTCCGATGCTATTTACAGAGACACGACTGACAGTCATGATCATATGACCGTTCTTTCAATGCCTACTGTTCCAAGGGAGATAACTCCGGCTATTTATTACATTATCGATCGGAACTTCAAAATGGCTGACACTCAAACCCGAGTTCCACAAGATACGCACTTGGAGGACGATAGGAGTCATGTTGAGGGACAGTTTATGGGTGCAACGTTACAGATCGGAGGCGGCGGGCCCGGGGGAGAGGGCGCTGAACCAGAGGTGAAATTCGCTGGCGGCCCTGCCCCAGGATTCAATCGTCAGCAGCGTCCGGGTAGTGTTTACGGACGACAGAGCGTCAAATCAACCACCAGTCGAACGTCAATGCGTCCGGGTGTTATCAAGGATGAAAAACTCGCCCAGAACTTCTTCAGTTACAAGGTGAATGTAGATACATATCAAATAGCCGTAATGTTGAAAGTATTGGGTTCAAGGTTCAAGTAAACGCTCAAAAATTGTGTTTATTTATGTTATATCCATGGCGAGGGTCGATAAACATCATGTGAGTTTGCCGACACGAACGCACCCGACATTGATAGACAGTTGTCTACGTCGTAGTTACCAGTATGATTGCAGACAATAATGTCCTGACGTATTTTGTGTACGGGCTTACCACTAACTACAGGGGTTCGTTAACATGCCTTTACACATATAAATATGCACCCTTATTATATTGTGTATCTGGCATTTGAAGCGGACAGGGCCCTGTGGTCGGCTACCACGGACCACAGGGGCACTCAACTACTATTAATATTGAATTGTTTTAGGCTTTCAGTCGCTGGGTACGTGTATAAGGTTATACGTACCCAGCGACTGAAAGCCTATAGCAGTTGCGTGCCCCTACGTACCTAGCTGCGATAACGTAGCTTTCTGATGACGAGAGATTTTTTTTATATATTGCGTCGTCAGAGGAGGCAGAGTATTGATATTAGTACTACTACGTACGTACCCAGCGACTGAAAGCCTATATTAGTTGCATGCCCCTACGTACCCAGCGACTGAAAGCCTATAGTAGTTGCATGCCCCTACGTACCCAGCGACTGAAAGCCTATATTAGTTGCGTGCCCCTGTGCACGCACTAATTAGGTCTAATCTAACGTTAGGCCTAATATTCCTTGATTTTACTGAAAACTGATTAGTAAGGCTAAAGTTAAGTTTTAATTGATTTTTCCACTGTTACACTTTCCGAGGATATCAATAGTGAAATCAAATTAAAAAGTAATGAGAATTCTTTGAAACATATATTAGGACGAGGAATAGTGATCAAGATAGTGCCGTTGCTGAAGCTCAAACCTGCAACCCTTGGCTCTCCAGCCCGATTCTATACCACTGAGCTAAAGGGAAATTCCCTGCAGCTGACACTTGTAAGGCTACCTAATCAATGCACATCTTAACACTATTCCCCCCTTTTATCAGCAACCCAGGTTCTTTGACCTCTGCCAAGAGTTCTCCTTTATATCTTGAACGGGGAGGGTCAACAGCAACAATTTGTAGTAGGTCAAGGAATAGCCATAAAGATAGTGTCGTCACTGGGGCTCGAACCTGCGGCCCTTGGCTCTCCAGCCCGTTGATCTATTGCTGAGCTAAAGAGAAATTCCCTATAGCTAACGCTTGTAAGGCAACCTTTTCAATGCACATCGTTTTACAAATATATAGAAACTGACTGCTTTACTGTACCTCTTATTTAAGCTTATAGTACACCCCAGACACATGTTTCCTACAATATCTATTCCTAAGAGGACATACATGTACCTACTATGTACATCCATACAATTGCATACAAATTGCTGTGATCCAAGTACAGCTGTCGACCAATATTAATGGCGATACAATCAAAACAGAACTTTGAAACATAAAAAATGCAACAGCTTTTCCATGTATTGTATTTTTAGTCACCTGGCCCGAAGGGCCGAGTGAGCTTATGGCATGGTGCGGCGTCCGGCGTCTTTCGTCCGTCCGGCGTCAACATTTTACTTTAAACAACTTCTTCTGAATAACCAAGAGGCATAGGGTGATGATACTGGCCAGAAGCATGCTGGGATGAAGGGCTACCAAGTTTGTTCTAATAAATGACCTTCATCCATTTTCAAGGTCACAGGGGTCAAATATGTTAAATTCTTTAAACAACTTCTGCTGAATAACCAAGAGGCATAGGGTGATGATATTTGGCCAGTAACATGCTTGGATGAAGGGCTACAAATTTTGTCCAAATAAATGACCTTGATTTATATTCAAGGTCACATGGGTCAAATATAATTAAAATCTTTCAACAACCTCTTCTGAATAACCAAGAGGCCTAGGGTAATGATATTTGGCCTGTAACATGCTGGGATAAAGGGCTACGAAGTTTGTTCAAATACATGACCTTGACTTATATTCTAGGTCACAGGGGTCAAATATGTTTAAAACATTTAAACAACTTCTTCTGAGTAACCAATACGCCTAGGGTGCCTAAATTTGGCCAGTAACACGCTGGGATAAAGGGCTACCAAGTTTGTTCCAATAAATGACCTTGGTTTATATTCAAGGTCACAGGGGTCAAATATGTTTAAAACCTTTCAACAACTTCTTCTGTATAACCAATAGGCCTAGGGTGATGATATTTGGCCAGTAACATGCTGGGATGAAGGGCTACCAAGTTTGTTCAAATACATGACCTTGACTTATATTCTAGGTCACAGGGGTCATATATGTTTAAAATATTTAAACGGCTTCTTCTGAATAACCAATAGGCCTTGGGTGCATAAATTTTGCAAGTAACATGCTGGGATAAATGGCTACCAAGTTTGATCAAATAAATGACCTTGGTTTATATTCAAGGTCACATGGGGTCAAATATGTTTAAAACCTTTAAACAACTTCTTCTGAATAATCGAGAGGCCTAGGGTGATGAGATTTGTCCAGTAACATGCTGGGTTGAAGAGCTACCAGGTTTGTTCAAATAAATGACCTTGACTTATATTCAAGGTCACAGGGGTCAAACATGTTCAAAACATTCAAACAACTTCTTCTGAATAACCAAGAGGCCTAAGGTGATGATATTTGGCCAGTAGCATGCTGGGATGAAGGGCTACCAAGTTGTTCAAATAAATGACCTTCATCCATTTTCAAGGTCACAGGGGTCAAATGTCTTAAAATCTTCAAACAACTTCTTCTCAATAACCAAAAGGCCCAGGGTACTGATATTTGGCCTGGAGCAATCAGGGCTACCAAATTTGTTCAAATGAATGACCTTGACCCACTTTCAACCTAATATCATTGTCATTCAAAGTCACATTGATAATCTTCCTGTAGCTGTATTTTAGTCCACTTTTAAGATTACAAGTGTGAGATTAATACCAGGTGAGCGATGCAGGCCCATTGGGCCTCTTGTATTTAAACCAATTCAAAACAAAATTAAGATGCTCCAGCTTTATAATATTTTATTTTTTTAAATTAACAAGAAATATTGCAGGGAATGTAGGGCCTCGTACAGAAACAGGGGGTTTCTTCTAGCTGTGTCTTCTGCTTAGGGACATAGGAGAACAAATGTATCCAGTCTATATACATAAATAGCTACATTTACATAACAAAACTCTCGTACCTACATCTGTACTATTTTTTTTCTCCACATTCCGTCATTGTCGTCCTTGGCAGCGATGGTTAACTTGTTAGTTCACCTGCCCTGAGGGCAAGTGAGATTATGCTGTGGTGTTGCATCCTGTGTTCAGCTTTTCAATTCAATGATTAGTAATCATTACTACAAGTTTGGTGTAAAGCATTACTTAAAAGGTGAAGGGGACACCCATGAGTCCTGGGGACAAATGACGGGACCAAATAGCTTGGGGTACATCTTTAAAATTATCCTTTAGTGTAGGTTAGGAAATTTAAACCAAGTAATAAGAAACAAGAACTTATGCATATACTTAAAGTTTATAATATTATTGAACATTATAGATACTGTACACTCAGTTTGTACAATTTTTACATACAGTATGATATGTGGATTTCCCAAAGAATTTCAGAATTTCCGCTTTTTCCTTTTTTGCTCATTTAGAACACCCAACTGCTTTCTTTTTAGAAGCATCTACAAATTATTTCTTTTTATTATTAATATAATGTGATAATACTTCTATTATAATCCTTTTAGAATACTCTTTTACATGTTTTTTCCGCGTCAGAGCATTTTTACCCGGGACAATTGACAAAAGCAATCTTGAAATTTAAAAAATTGTAATGTATCATTCTTATTTTATTGCAGCGTGAAAATTCAAACTCAAACAATTCACAACAAGCGGTCAGTATATAACTTTTATCACATTATATGTCTCCAGCTGCATACTTTTTAGTTTATGAACTAACATGGTCAGATCCAAACGTTTACAGACTCTTTTTCTTTCCTTTTTTTTTATTTGAAAGAAACGAGTAGTCTAAGCCATTTCATATCACGATTTTTTCTAGATTCGGGATAATCACACCATTTTAAAAAATATCGTAAGAATTGTGCATCACTTTTAAATGCAAAATTTCTTGTATTTTTTAATACCTGATGGAAAATTCCTGTTTCTTTTAAGAAAATTCTCTAACCCTAGAAGAAAAAAATAAACTAGCAATTTTTACAGATGTGGAGGCTGACCTTATTTTCATCCCCCTAAAAGTGCATTAGGAAAATCACAGTTTAATTTTGTCAGTTATTTATTTATTCTTCAGTTTTACTTTTTGTACCACTGTAAGTCTGTACATATATGTGATGTGTGACAAAATGATCTGTGGAATGATATGCATTTTAGGTGTTTTTAGTTGATTGTGAGACTGACATGTGTTACAGGGTCACTCCTGTATCATACAGAATAAACAAAAACTTGTCTAAAATTAGATTAGTAACATTCATTTGTATGTAAGAATTTGATTTTAACTTACCAAGCACGTGTGGTATGTGTGTCTAAATAAACGACCTTGATCCACAGGGGCCAAATGTGTTCAAACAACTTCTATAGATCCATGCAGTCAACATGTACATGATTCATATATGGGCAAGAATTCAGTATTTCAGAATATAGTGTGACATTGAGGAATGAAAATAAAAAATTGTCCCAGGACTTCAATTTAACATTTTTGCATTGCTGAAGTTATGCGGTTTACTAATGAAGAGAAATTATTGAAATAAAATCAACACCAATCTTGTGTCGGAAAGACATTTAATGAATTTGGTGAATGTAACATGGACAACATATCTAAAACCTAAATTATGTTTTCTCAATCAGTAGTTAATGGAAATCTTATGTTTGCCTATAGAACCAAGTTACCCAATACCTTGTAGAAAGTTTTATTTAGACATTTTCATTTTCACTTTTTCAGTGTTTTTTTCTTGTTGCTTTGCATTTTTTTTCGTGTCAATGTTACATACAACTTGATACACTCCACTAATTACATTAAATGAAAGGCAGTTTTCAAGGAAGGAGAAATTTTATGATACATGAGGCATGCGTCACATTTTCCTTACCTCTCAATATATTTTCATTTTTCTACCACACAGTAATTCTTCATTACTCAATTTAGTTGTATGTAACATTGACACAAAAAATAAAATAAATCTGACTTGTTACTTATAAGTCTCCAATCATATAATAAAACACCTTTTTTATATTGGAATTGGAATTCTTTAAAGTAATTTCCCTACCTTTTATTTGAAAAGTTTTAATTTCACCGACTGCCTATTGTCCAATTGTTGAAACAAGTTGCACGCTTTGTTTATTCAATAGTTTTACTAACCACCTGTTGTTTCGGGTTTAGTTAAAATTGACATGTTCGCTCAATTTGATAGTGCTTGCCCAACTGAAGAGTCCTGCATGCACTGTATCTCTATTCCCTGTGATGTCTCTGGAGCTATCTCTATTCCCTGTGATGTTCCAGATTTCCTGTTTGGGAAAGTTTTTGCAGTTTTGCTGCATACCGTGCTTTCCCGTCAGATGGTTTCTCATGCCCCGCATTTTCTTCGTCTAATTGGACGATTCTTTTACGCTTCTTCCTCAGATTCCATGAACCTGAAACACAAATAAAGCTTATTTATGGTATGTTCCATTTTTCCATCCATACTCACAAAATGATCCTGTATTTAAAATATTCTGTACACAAAAGTTCAGGTGGAATATAAAAATAATATCTGTTAGACCTAGAAAAAATTATCAGGTTTTGATCAGAGATGAGATGAAGTTTCAAGAACTTATGAAGGGAACTAAACAAGATTAAACACAAAATTTCAATTCATTAGTTACGTAGGATGATTGATTCAAATATGTCAAGAGAAATTTAAGTAACACTGAAGCAAACTACCGATACAACATGAAAAAAATAGATGTTTTCAATATTATGTACACCACATAAACGCCGTATTGGAAAGATTTAGGTTTGAAATTAAAGTTGGGTTGTTGAAGTAAAACATTCAGACAATGTAAGTTGAAAAATAACTCCTACTATTGCAGTAAAGACCAGTTTCTCAATACCCAAAATGTATGTAACATGAAACCTTGACACAAAACATCAATCTTGTCAATGTTACCTGCATGCTTCTGCATGGTAAATTGAAAATTATGCCTAAATAGATAAGACAGCATTAAAATAATTATTCTACATTCAAAATAAAAAATTGGCTGTATAGTTTATTTGTCTTAATGCATAAAGGTAACTGGATCTAATGTGTCGTGGGATGTACATAACGTTGACACAAAAGACTGATGCCAAGGAAACAATTCCATGTTGTCAATGTTATGTACACTACATGTACAGCAAATTAACAGATACAATCTACGTTGAAAGTTACTTTGCGAAATTATAAGGACAACAAAAAGCTTTAAATAAGGAAAAATCCCATTTTACTTACATTGACGCGAAAGCTACCATATGATTTAATTTCTGTGTATTTTTTATGAGTTGCCATAGATTCAAAATTTACGACTTTCAGTGTGAACCTATGCACACGGCGGTAAGATTACGTCATCCTCGCTTAAATAATAGGTTATTCGCGACTATTTAGCCTGCTGTTTGGTGCACGTAACAGTGTTGACACGAAATGTTACATGCAACAAGTTTTTTTGCATTTGCTTTTCCAAAAAAACAGCATGTACCACATGCATGAAACAGCGATTTTTGAAAAATAGAGATATTTCCTGTCCTAAAATTAAAATAAACTCTTCAATAACACGACACACATTTCTAACACAATCGATATACACACAGTATCTTTGTAAAACATTAAATAGTCCACGTAAATGCTCTCAATATTAAAATAAAACAACATTATCAAATGGACACAAAAATCTCAAATAGCGAATTCTTGCCCATAATATATACAGTAAAACCTCAATATAAAGCCCCTCGTTTAATGTCACCTTGCTCTCCGCCATTATATTTCACAGGCTATTTTTCTCTTTTTCTTACGAATTCCTTCATAAGTTTCTCTCAATATATCGCCAGACCCCTTTATAAGGCCAAACATTTCTGGACAAATGGTGGCAGTATAACGAGGCTTTACTGTATGTGAACATTTGTTAAAAGTTGCTCCTATACAATTTAAGGTGGCTCCACACTTTCGCAATTAACCAGCAAAATTCGTTGAAACTTTCATATAATTGTTATGCAACTATGTCGAGTTGATTTTATGAAAATCTAAACATTCCGATAGTTTGGGGAATTTTTTGGAAAAAATACCAAAAAATTGAATTTTCGTCAATTCTAATATTTTCCGTTTTTTTTGTGTGTGGCATTGTTCGGAACAATAACAACAATAATAAAATGAAAAGAAGCATTTCTAATTAACCCTACAAATATTTTATTTATCGCAAAATATGTAACACATGTTACACAAAGTGTTTTTTATTGAATTTGTACGGATAAAAGTGATTATCTACAAGCTAAAAGCACCCAGGACACAAAGTTCTATACATATAGAGTGGGAAATTGAACAAAATATACACAATGGCTTTATAATTAATTTATTTTACATTTTACAATCACTTTGATCCGGGTGAGAGTTATCTTCCTTGAAAAAAATCGGAACTTTTTGCAGAGGGGTGACATTTACACAATGACAGTTGTCTCTGTTTACATATAACAAAAATGATGGAAATAAATCAAAAATATGATATCAAAATTATCAATTTATTGTTCTTTAATGGAACCAAATTACCCTCAGTCATGTACACTTTGGACATCATTCCACAGTCCGCTAACTCACGGTATATTTATAATTACATGTCAGGTCAGAGGCTATCGCATGGTATACCGTTCTCACGTGCACTCACACATGCATTTCATAGGTATCTTGATATTTTACAAAACATTATTTTCACAGAGTAAGCTAGTAGACTACATTTGTAAACACGATTTAATCGACAGAGCGAAACTCCCTCAACAGCGAAAATCGTAACGACCTCGAGCTTATGAACTCGTGTAAACACGCGATATGCACATGTGAGGTTGGTACGTCCGCATTCCATGTGTTTCCTATATGACCTTCTTGAGGTCGTCTGGTCTCATGTCACTGTCTTCCCGTGAGTCTGTTTATGTCTATGAATTGGAAAGCTTTATTCCTGAAGTACGTGTGAGTATACATTTCCCGGTAAAATCTTGATATCGGGTGTTGACATATCATCGGCACGCACGTGTACTATTGTTTACCATGGGCCTGTTCGTTTATGCGGAACAACCGGTTTGACCGTTTATAAATGTAACAATTTCGGGTGTAAATCCTGGCGGACCTGCAAATGTGTATGCAGGCCTTGCAAGGCTTTCTCAAGACTCGCCTGAAAGCAGCATCAGATTACTAGGTCCGACCTTATTTAATAAACGAACAACAGTGGTCCGATCGGTTTGACCGTTTAAACGAAAACGGCCCAGCAGGTGTTACTATAATTTGCACTACGATATTGAATGCCCGATACGCAATACGGAAATGACGACACGGTGTACATGCACATTTCGATTAAGATAATTGAGTCCTAGCTGTACTTTTTCCGGAAGTATGTCACGAAAATGGACGCTGATGACGATGTGTCGAGCCACCTTAAGACTATACAAATGTACATGTAGGAGCCTACATTTTGTATGTGTTTGACCTACATACTTTTCAATAACTGAACTTTTGATCTGGTCAAAAATAAAAAGTCATAAAGAAGCTAAAAAATTGATGTGTTGCCTAATATCAGGATATTTCTAGGTGCTTACTTCCATTTTTGAAAAACAAACCAAAACCTTTTGTCTGATATATATAGACAGAGGGAAGGACCTTAAGTATGGACTTGCTATTTATTTCACACTGGTTTTTGTATATAAAGTTTATACCTAATTTTTATGTAGGATCATTAAATATATCATTGTGTGATGATGATTTTCCTGTCGCTCTTACTTACAGTTTACCATCTCTGGCTCTAGTGTCTCGCACCCGGGATCAACTCATCAGGTTTTCTTCTTACTTTACAGGCCATCCTGAACCTTGCCATCACTTAGATAATAAGACTCATTAAACTTCTATTCCGTCTTTGCGTATTGCAGAGTTATCTTTTCTTGAGAACAGGTATTGATTGTTACGTCATTGGTTTGTGTGAGAAAATTACGTCGTTTTCTCAAAAATTGATAACGTTACTCTCTCAAACAAATGACGTAACAATCAATACCTTTTCTCAAGAGAAGATAACTCTGCAATACGCAAAGACGGAATAGCTAACCCAGTTGTCCAAGGCAGCTGTACATGCCCATGTAATGTTGGGGAACATATTTGGAGTTGTTTTTATGAGAAGTATATATAATGCATATTGTTACCAATATCCGTCCTGTACGGTCCCATTACATCACAATTCACTGTCATTGCTGAAGCTACTTCATTTGTAAAAGGATTTTGATCAAACTTAAATCAAAGTTCAGGTATGCAAATATCTCAAATGTAAGATTCCAAGGTCAGGTCCAAGGTCATTGTAATCGTTTTAATACAAAAATTGTCAACATATGAAGTGACATCACTCCAGCAACTCAATAAGTAAAAAAAATATCAAACTTTAATTAATTATATTAGTGTGAAGAACGAGAATGCACCGAGTTTATATTTAAGGCACCAAGGTCAAGGTTAGAGTTATCTTTAAATGAAATATGTTGAAAACTGCCACTAACTTAGGGAGCTGGACCATGGACATTCATGTCTGATAGTCTCTAGATTTATAGTAACATTCCATTGTGAAAAAATCCTTTATCTAGAGCCATCTTTATGTCTAATTGTTCTATGTTGGCGTAAATATGTATAATAAATAAAATAAAGTGATACCTAATTATTATCATAAAATGTTATACTTTTTCTGTATTTTATCATATACGGTAGTTGTTTGAATTCTACAAATTATGTATAAAGTATAAAGATTGCAATTCAAACTGATTTGCATCAAATTACAAGGAATTATCTGCCTATATTATAACATTGAAAAGAATTAAACAAAGTTTAGGATGGCCGTCTCCTTTTCTTGCTGTTGTGTCCACTTTCAAACATATATAAGTTAGCTTTGTTTTGTTTTCACACACACCACACAATTGTAGAGAATAGCATATATAGTAGAGACAATGAAGCTTAGGAAGACCAAGAACAATCACCCCAGATTGGTCTTCTGTTTTTTGCTTTACATTTTAAATTTTAAATTTATGCAACATGCAAGTTAGTTTTGATCACAAACAATAATTAAAAATATATATTTTGCAAGCTTTCTAAAACATCTGTTTCCGGTGTCAAACAAAGAGTGCAAATGACCAGTGTCTCAACACTAAATTGCTGAAAACAGGTCACTAAGGAAATCCTTTGCTTACATTAATTTTCATGGTACTGCTGGTAGTATAGCCTTGAGTTTATATTATGAGTGTTTTCAATTAACAAATATCTACGTTTTTTGCCATCAGTGGTTTATTAATTATTTGATATGTAATAAAACAACAGTACTACCGGTAGGTAAATGTTTTCATTATTCAAGCTCAACAAAAAACAAAACATTTTTTAAAGGAATATTTTTTTTAAGCAAAATGATGATTTTGCACAGAAAATTATCAAATAAATATGATAATTATTTGATTTTGATGTTAACTTTTGCAGGTTGTATTTCCAACCACACAGATATCTTTCTCTTTTATTATATATCTCTTTGACCATGTTTGTCCCTATTTGCTTTTTATTCATAATAATCTTTGATGTAAAGATATCGTTTTTGATATTGAATAATGATTAGTCCAAAATCTTTAATTAAGTTGGAAATTATTAAAGATAGGGAAGGTAACTTTAAAATAGCTTTGACGAAATATGTTTAAAGTAAATTTCTGGAAATTCATCAAAAGTCATGTTCAGGGAATTACCCAGAGTGAATTTCAGAATATATGTCTTACTGTAACATTCTGAATACCATCAAATTTTCTCCTGCATTGCATTATTGCCAGGGTCCAACCCTAACACTAGTCCCCTAGTCCACGACCAGTACATTTCAGCAAGGCCTAGTGAATCAACTAACCTAACTGGTCCTTTGTACTTGTGAAAAATATATGTTATCTTAATATCATTTGATAGATTACAATGCCTTTTTAAATGACCTTAGCTGTTGATAGGACATAAAACCATATAAAATCAAATCATTGATAGATTACAAAGGAAGAAGATTCATTTGAAAAAGTGCTAGGAATTCTTGGACTCTAGTAATATATAGGACTACCAAATAACCGAGCAAGAACAGATTGTCTCTAACCCAGATTGCTGAATATTGATTTTTCAGGAAACTAACTTATCGCGTTTTGTTGTGTAGTGGAAATACCAATTAATTATGGAAGGCTTTCTCCAGTTCATCAGTATAACAGAATGAAGTGTCTGAAATTAGGCTATGGTACATGGAAAAGGGCCAGTGAAACCACAGGTACTAGCCTCGTCTTGTCAATACACCTATACTATAATCATTTGATTATATGATAGGTGTATTGACAGACGAGGCTAGATTATATTATAGGTGTATTGACAGACAAGGCTAGATTATAGTATAGGGGTATTGACAGACAAGGCTAGATTATATGATAGGTGTATTGACAGACGAGGTTAGATTATATTATAGGTGTATTGAAAGACAAGGCTAGATTATATTATAGGTGTATTGACAGACAAGGCTAGATTATAGTATAGGTGTATTGAAAGACGAGGCTAGATAATATTATAGGTGTATTGACAGACGAGGCTAGATTATAGTATAGGTGTATTGACAGACAAGGCTAGATTATATTATAGGTGTATTGACAGACGAGGCTAGATTATAGTATAGGTGTATTGACAGACGAGGCTAGATTATAGTATAGGTGTATTGACAGACGAGGCTAGATTATATTATAGGTGTATTGACAGACGAGGCTAGTACCTGTGATGAAACATACATATTTGTGCAGTGTTAGTGGTAGACAGTACAAAAGTTGTGTCTGAAAGTGAGCCATGATAGAAAAGTTCAAAATCTGTATTCATAAAACCGTTCTCAGACTCGAGCATGGATTTTACTTAAACCTAATTTCTTGTTCCGATTAAAAATTAGCAAAAAGGAAATCTTATTTTGTCTATGATTTTGAAAATTTGAAGAGACTTAAATCCGAACACTGTTGAACTGTTTTCAACATTAAGATTTTACTTGTTGACTTTTTGTATTGACATGATTTAAGTGAGCTATATATAAGAAAGCTGGTTTAAGCACAGAATCCGTTCTTGAGCATGAGAATGGTTTCATGAATACGGGCCTTGGTGATCGCCTGCATATTTGAGGACAATTTCAATGCATTTCATGCTGGAAATCATTTATAGTAAAGCACTAATTTCAGATTCAGACGTGACTATGTACAAAATGGAAGCTGGAGGAAATTTATGCTCTAATACTATAATGAAGTTGAAAGATTTCTGACCATGCAGCAGGAAAATATTTCCTCAACCTTTCAAGTGTTTTATTAAAAGTCATATTTTCTACTTTCAGGAGACCAATTTTGACAAAGCAGTATCTGTGTGTGAACAGAAAGCCAAGCCAGAACTTGATGGAAAACGTGTTGGAGCCTGGCTGCTGACAGAGTAGGTTTACAACACTTTATCCATGAGACATATCTTTGTAGACCTCTATATAATGTACAGAGTAAATAGTTACTTTCACTGTGATATTTCAGTGAACCTTTTGCCTCAGTATTTATGTGCTTCTATGACAGAACTGTCGAGGGTTAGAAAGGGGTGTAAGACATTTCTATCTCCCACACCTGACAGATTTATCTCCCGTTTTGCCGGTGCTAGATTTATCTGTCTCCGCCCTAGGGTTGAGACGGGGGGATACCCCTATTTATAACAATGGTATGACATCACTGCAACTATACAATGACGTCACGTCAACAATCCATCAACGTCACATCAACCCTGAATTTAGCATGTAATGTTATCATTACATTGTGTATATGATACACATTGGGGGAAACAGGGTAAGAGAAAAAGAATCATTCACCCCCTTGTGGGTAAGATATATAGAATCATACACCCCCTTGGGGGTGAGATAGGGGAATCTCAACCCGAGGGGAAGATTCTTAAGTTGCCAAACACGAGGCTTTGCCGAGTGTTTGGTAACTGAAGAATCTTTTTCCGAGGGTTTAGATTCCTCTATCTTACCCACAAGGGGGTGAATGATTCTTTTTCTCTTACCCTGTTATTCCAATGTGTATCATATACACAATGTAATTACAACGTTACATGCTAAATTCAGGGTTGACGTGTCGTTGATGGATTGTTGACGTGACGTCATTGTATTGTTGAAGTGACGTCACACCATTGTTATGAATAGGGGAATCCCCCCGTCTCAGCCCTAGGGCGGAGACAGATAAATCTAGCATCGGCAAAACGGGAGATAAATCTGTCAGGTGTGGGAGAAAGGGAAATCACAACCCTCGGGGAAAGATTCTTAAGTTGCCAAACACTCAGCAAAGCCTCATGCTTGGCAACATAAGAATCTTCCCCCTCGGGTTGAAATTCCCCTATCTCACCCCAAAGGGGGTGAATGATTCTATTAATCTTACCCCGGCCAGTTCACATGTTTGAGGTCACATTGGGATAATAATGATGTGATGTCACAAAATCCGGAACATTCTGATCATGATGCCGCAATGCGAAAACTGTGATGCCTCTCTGTAGTTTTTGAGCTAATTCTGGTGATTGGAATGAGAAAAAATACTCTGTCATTCCCAGATGTGTAGAAAAGGGAGGTTCCATCCTTGGGATTTTAAAATTGGTGCAAAACCCTCAGGAGAACCTCAGGGTTTTTGCCAATTTGGAAACCCCTATGGTTCCAATTCCTCTATCCTACACCCCTTGGCCTGAAAGAGTCTTATGGTCTCCAAGTGATTCTATCCATCTTGTTGTCATTAAAGACAAGTTTTCTGAAAATGTGTATCTGACAAAGTGATTGGACAAATTTATGAAACCTCTGTAATATCACACCTCATGATTTAATTCCCTCTCAATATCAAATTCTTTTGGAAATTTTCATCCTTTGAATGTTGAAGTCACATTGTATTCTTTATAATCTATAGGAAATACAATTTAAAACAAATAGCAAAAAGTTGTTAAGTTATTTAAACAGTACTGCTTAATATGTTTTTAACTTCCATCTCCTGTGTGAATCTCACATTTAAACAGTACTGCTAAATATGTTTTTAACTTCCATCTCCTGTGTGAATTACACATTTAAACAGTACTGCTAAATATGTTTTTGACTTCCTTACAGTACTGCTTAATATGTTTTTAACTTCCATCTCCTGTGTGAATCTCACATTTAAACAGTACTGCTAAATATGTTTTTGACTTCCTCCTCCTGTGTGAATTCCACATTTAAACAGTACTGCTAGATATGTTTTTGACTTCCTCCTCCTGTGTGAATTCCACATTTAAACAGTACTGCTAGATATGTTTTTGACTTCCTTCTCCTGTGTGAACTCCACATTTAAACAGTACTGCTAAATATGTTTTTGACTTCCTCCTCCTGTGTGAATTCCACATTTAAACAGTACTGCTAGATATGTTTTTGACTTCCTTCTCCTGTGTGAATTCCACATTTAAACAGTACTGCTAGATATGTTTTTGACTTCCTTCTCCTGTGTGAATTACACATTTAAACAGTACTGCTAAATATGTTTTTGACTTCCTTACAGTACTGCTTAATATGTTTTTAACTTCCATCTCCTGTGTGAATTACACATTTAAACAGTACTGCTAGATATGTTTTTGACTTCCTTCTCCTGTGTGAATTCCACACTTAAACAGTACTGCTAAATATGTTTTTAACTTCCATCTCCTGTGTGAATTACACATTTAAACAGTACTGCTAAATATGTTTTTGACTTCCTTACAGTACTGCTTAATATGTTTTTAACTTCCATCTCCTGTGTGAATTACACATTTAAACAGTACTGCTAAATATGTTTTTGACTTCCTTACAGTACTGCTTAATATGTTTTTAACTTCCATCTACTGTGTGAATCTCACATTTAAACAGTACTGCTAAATATGTTTTTGACTTCCTTACAGTACTGCTTAATATGTTTTTAACTTCCATCTCCTGTGTGAATTACACATTTAAACAGTACTGCTAAATATGATTTTGACTTCCTTCTCCTGTGTGAATTACACATTTAAACAGTACTGCTAAATATGATTTTGACTTCCTTCTCCTGTGTGAATTACACATTTGAACAGTACTGCTAGATATGTTTTTGACTTCCTTCTCCTGTGTGAATTCCACAATTAAACAGTACTGCTAAATATGTTTTTAACTTCCATCTCCTGTGTGAATTACACATTTAAACAGTACTGCTAAATATGTTTTTGACTTCCCTCTCCTGTGTGAATTCCACATTTAAACAGTACTGCTAGATATGTTTTTGACTTCCTTCTCCTGTGTGAATTACACATTTGAACAGTACTGCTAGATATGTTTTTGACTTCCTTCTCCTGTGTGAATTACACATTTAAACAGTACTGCTAAATATGTTTTTGACTTCCTTACAGTACTGCTTAATATGTTTTTAACTTCCATCTCCTGTGTGAATTACACATTTAAACAGTACTGCTAAATATGATTTTGACTTCCTTCTCCTGTGTGAATTACACATTTAAACAGTACTGCTAGATATGTTTTTGACTTCCTTCTCCTGTGTGAATTCCAGATTTAAACAGTACTGCTAAATATGTTTTTAACTTCCGTCTCCTATGTGAATCTCACATTTAAACAGTACTGCTAAATATGTTTTTGACTTCCTTACAGTACTGCTTAATATGTTTTTAACTTCCATCTCCTGTGTGAATTACACATTTAAACAGTACTGCTAAATATGATTTTGACTTCCTTCTCCTGTGTGAATTACACATTTGAACAGTACTGCTAGATATGTTTTTGACTTCCTTCTCCTGTGTGAATTCCACTGTTAAATAACCTCATCTTGCATTACCTTTTAAATATTGTAATCTCATGATCAGTAAAGTAAAATCATACATCAAGTACAGACTTTTTTTTTAATGTATGGGAGATATGATGTTTAAAACAAGCTATTAAACTCACAAGAAATCAACTACAATTTAAATCTAATTTCCTGAGTTAATTTTTTAATAGAATTTCTATAGGGTAAACAGATTTCTAAAATGGTAAATATAAGTACATGTTTTGAAATACTTTCAGCTGGCATTCATAGGCAATATGAATGCCAACTGAAAGCAGTTCAAATGTTTAATAACCTTGTCATTGAAACTTCATGAATAAACTTTATTGTCTACAAGTAAGAATCAGCCATCATACACTTTGGTAGTTCTCTATATAATTCCAAAGTAATTGATTAATGTGACTGAATGTTATAAATATATAGTTGCAAGATTGAAAATGTTTTATCTTACTTCAGAATCGACCACTGGGATAATGAGCGAGAGAAGATTGTTCTGCTGTTTGAAAATTCTGTGATGATCTACAAATACCACTTCATACTACACAAAGTGGAGGAATTCAAGCGCGTCCTCCTTTGGGTGGTCGACACAGTCTGCATCGGTGACTTCAAGTATCCCGAGAAGAGTATTATGCCGTGAGTTGGAAAGATATCTTTGACATTCACTGACTATTATGATATCATATCTGTGATAAGCAGAGCGATTCAAGTCCTTAGCAAGGAGATAAAATAATTACTGAATTTATTCGCAAATTATGTTTAGCTAAATTGTTCTAAGAACACCATGTATCAAGTAAAAATCTTTCAATTTAGTTGAGATAGAAAACATAAAGGAAATACACATTTTTTTTTTACCTTTTGTTATTCTAGAGAAAGGAAACATGGCGGCATACAGATCCGTTGGAACAAAGGGGAAGAACCCTCGTTTGCCCAGCGCTGGAATCCATGGAGCACATGTATTCCCTTCCTCACCTTCTGTCATCATCCACTGCTGTACAACCCCAAGGAGAACGAGACCGTCACCTACAACGTTGACGAGTTCTACGAGTCGCTTATCAAGGGGATCAGTGATGCGTACAAATCGAAGAGACCTGCAGAGAAAGTCACTATCTTGGAAGGCCCCATTCTGATAACCAGCTATGCAAGCGTGTCGTCCATGATCTTCAATCAAAGTGGACTTGGGTTTTATTTGGACAGAAATGGAATCTGCTTTTGAAAGACTAAAAACAAGGCTGGAAAGAAAAACCGGCAACTTGAAATGCTGTGTTGATCTCCACTACTGCTATAAAAAGGACATTTATCTTGATCTCTGTTTAAATTAAGTTGCTGAATTTCAAGATTTTTTCATAGATGTGTTTAATAATTGCTGTTGGTTCTATTTAATAATTGACTTGAGCAATTGTTGAAATATGTAAAGACATTTAGAAAAAGAGGAACAAACTTAAATTACACCATTTCAGATCTAGGGCTTCTACAGTTTTCAATGAAATGGCAGGAAAATGAAAAAGATTTTTTTGTTGGTGCAACATGTTTTCTTTAATCTTACTTGGGCGAGAATAGTTAAAATTAAGCAAACAAATATTGTAGAATTTAGACGAGAGAAGAGTGATCGCACAAGTAAAGAATACCACCGTTCACTCCCTAAGGTTAACAGTTTAGCACATAGACATCCCATTGATGATACAGTTTAGCACATAGACATCCCATTGATGATAAGCATTCCATAGGTGTGGTTAGGTGGTGCACATTAGGTGCATGCAACATGTTAGCAATATTGTGCCATTGTATTCTTTCAAAACGGGCGAATTCCTGTCAAAACCAACTGATTGTTCAATTAAAAAACAACAATAGATAAATAAACCACTGATGATTTAATTAATACATTACCAAACATGTAATACCGGTAAGCTTCTTTTAAGTAATTTTAATATTTAATTTTTTATAATTATAATACCATCCTTTAAAACAATCTCCTTTGTCAAACAGATTTTAAAGACAAAGGTCATAAGGTATTTAGATAAGCCCTTTCCAGATAATTAGGGCTAATTTGAGATTAAATCATGATATGTTATTTTTTTTTTTAAATATGTTCACAGCACATAGAATTCCATGTTATCAGTGAACATTTAATGAAACTGGTTTTGTTTTCAATTAGCTAATTCAGGTCCTCTCTGGGGCTCTGCCATTTATGGACAATATGTATGTACATAATGTAAGCTGTGTTGCATTAATGTTTATATCACTATACATGGTATGCACAGTACTGTGGCTGGTGATATATATCTTTAAAAAATCCTTATTTTGTTATTTGGATTACATGTACTGCTTAATTCAGTGCTGTGTTATAACTAAACAGACTAACCATTTATTAAACTGTATAAACCATCTACTTGTGACTGTAAGGATGAGAGGAAGCTAGCTCAGCCGAAGTCGGTAAATGTATTCAAATTCATTAGATAAATAACACATCAAGTGCAATTTTAAAGTTCAATTAAACAAAAAGTTCAGAAATATCACTATTTGTGTATATTTTATCTGATCATGGTTATTGTGAATCCCAGCACGTGCCTATTTTGTTTTAAATTTTAATAATGATAAAACATACTTGGTATAGATTTATTCTTTATAAGCTGTATATATTTGAGGCCTGATATGAAATTATTCTTTTTCAACAACCGATACGGCAATTTTCTTTTCAGGTATTGCGTCAGCCAGGTTTCCTCCTATCTATATAAAAGATAACGTGATGTCATGCTCTCAAACTGTATTAATACATAATGTATACTCTGTACCTACATAATAGATTTATTGTGATGTTTGTATATTTATTGATATTTTAGAGTTTAAAGAGATTTATTCAAATTGTCATTATTGAAATCCTTTATATGTTTATGTCGGCTTGGTGATCTAAGTGACCACATCTACTTATTATATTTTATTCAATGTAAAAAAACTCCATGTTTAATGACTAAATTGTATGTTAACTTTAAGAATTGTTTGTTATTGAATGTACGCAGTCGTTTGCTGTTTAATTACGATATTGTGTGTTTAACTTGATAAGCTTTTATTTAATGTTCATAATTGTTTGCACATATTTGCCACCAGTGATAATTTGCCAACTTCAATATAACATTATAATCCAGTGTCATTTATATAACCTAGAGTAGCAGTAACACTTATAATGTTTTGTTTTTTTAAGTTTACTATTTTTTTTTATGTTCAGTTAACCTTTTATTCTGCTGGTTTTCAAATTCATGCTTTGATGCTTTTTAAACATTTAAATCAGTTTCATTTCTACTTTCTTTGTGCATATTTAATCAGTTTAATTTATCATACCATACAAATATCTAAAGTTGAAATTTACCAAATTGAACCTTCGCTGAGGCCACCTCAAGATGGCTCTTCCTTCTTATCCCTATCCTTAAATGTGCATCAAGGATGACAGTTTTATTCAAAACAGTTAAACAGAACACATTAGAATTATGGCTGATTTATCTTGTTTAGTTAATTCATTCACCCCTACATATTTAAACTAGACTTGCGCAGTATTTGATTTGGAAAGGTAGGAGGTCAAAACATTTCCATCTCAGCCCAACTGTTCATAGCTGATTACCTCACAGTCAATTTATCTTTATATATCAAAAATATTGATGTCACCCTAGTAAAAAAAAGTAACTGTTTCCTACTGATTTGGCTAGGAAGAATTTCTAGTTAGCTCTTTCAGTAGAGCGTAAGACAAGTAAACCAGAGGTCCTCGGTTTGACTCCAAGCAGAGGCATTGAATAAAAAATGACCTCTATCTCCTGGAAAATGCAGTACAGTATTAGTAGAATCTGTCATAAAATAAAGCTAACATAATCAGCTACAGATAAGTGAGATCACTTATGTTACCAATATGGATCAAACATTAACTTGTTGTGATATTACATGAATCATAAATAGGTATAGTTGTAATATTTCAATCTAGATAAGAGGATTAGAAATGATGCTGGATAAAAATTAGACATTAACCTGTTGAAGAAAACCCATCATGATTGTTGCTATCAAAAACATCATGTGATAAAACGGGAACTATAACCATCAGTAAATGCTACCTTGTATGACTTGGTATTTCTGTATTTTTGTTATGTGGATTTCACAAGACAATCCTATAGTAACTTTCTCATCATCAATGATTTTTATATTTTGCATAATATCTTCCTTTACAATCTAATTAATGCATTTTATTCCTATCCTTATTCATCTCTTTGTCATTGGCTATGATCATAAAACTCAAGACAAAAGGTTTAAAGAAAAACATTAATCTAAAAAGAATTCAAATGAAATATGCAAATCTATCTCAAAAAGGAAAATCATTGTGACCATATTAATACTCTGTAAAAAACGGGATAAGGATATATTCTATCTTACATACATAGATATGTACATATAGTAACTGTTTCATATAAGGATTAACCCAGCAAAATATAACAATTCTTCATAGCTATATAAATATGTTCATATGTCTGTGCAGTGTTATAATTTGATAAACATTAAAATATCTCTGGTCATGGATGTTAAGTCACAATATTAGTAGGCTGGGTGTGGAGGGGATAGGCAATGCTAATATGTAATAAAATCAACGTAAAATGTAAATTTTGTAATATAAAACAAATTGCAATGTAGCTATGATGTTGTTTCTATTTATTTGAGGGGAGATAATTACTCTATTAATCAATTTAGGATTTGTACTTATAATAGAGAGATACTTAATCAGATGTATTTAGATCACTTTATATTCTCTGTGTGTTTTACATTACAGCTGTATCAGTTTTATTGACGGTGTCCTGAAGTAACACCTATCTTACATTTCTAAGAAAACAAACCTTTTGCAATTTGTGAATCAACCATGTTACTTTAGACTGGGGAATGTTCATTACAGATACATTTTGCCCTTACGAGATTTGATTGGATGGTATATAGTAGAAAGTGTACATATAGCACCTTTTATTTATTAAACTGCTGTGAATCAATGAGGGAACATTTATTTCACTAGTGATTGGCAAATATTTGATAGAAAATATCCCCGTTTTGTGTCCGATTGGCATGCTGATCAATGTGGTTTAACTCTATGGATCGGTTCTATGTACTGTTGTATTAGATCTAGCACTGCTGTCAGTATTAGATCTAGCACTGCTGCAAGTATTAGATCTAGCACTGCTGCAAGTATTAGATCTAGCACTGCTGTCAGTATTAGATTCAGCACTGCTGCCACTACAGCCTGATGAATAGCTTAACTAGGGGACGTAGTTGTATAACACAGTATAGAAAATCATGTTACCCTTAAGGATGCATGCTCCCTTTCTAAAACAAATTCTCCTTTCCAAGAGAGTTCACCAATAAAATACATGTGAAATACATTTGAGTAGTATTTAGACTGTGTTGTTATTAAATCATGTTGACGCATTTCAAATGTACAAGAAAATGCATGCATGTCTGCACTAAGGTATCAATAGCTAACACCAATTCATGAAAATGAGGGAGATAACTCTGAAATGAAATATATTCCATGTAAGGTAGTGGTTTCATGTAACCTTAAATTGTGGTGTTAATAATTATAAAAGTATACTGGAATACGTATTTGTGTAGCCATGTATGTATGTATAGATATATATCCCAACAATTATGTTATTGATTATGACTTATACGCATTCGATTGAGATTACTCTCAAGTTTATTCTGTAATCTCATGGGTTATTTTTGGGATTAAAATGGTGAGATCGGATATAAATCAAAGTCCATTATCAAGAGTAGGTGATCTGTTTTATCATATGACACATACACTAAATATAAACTAGCTTTTCTAGCTGTACAGGTAATATTTCAAAACTACGCATGACATCATTTAAGTGTGATGCTATATATAACTGATATAGTGTGAGATCACACCTTGGACGTCATACTTACTGTAGCATTGTCTAAAGAATAACTCCTGTATCTATGAAACCGCTATAGTGTGAGATCACACCTGGGACGTAATACTTACTGTAGCATTGTCTAAAGAATAACTCCAGTATCTATGAAAACGCTATAGGGTGAGATCACACCTGGGACGTCATACTTACTGTATCATTGTCTAAAGAATAACTCCAGTATCTATGAAACCGCTATAGTGTGAGATCACATCTGGGACGTCATACTTACTGTAGCATTGTGTAAAGAATAACTCCTGTATCTATGAAACCGCTATAGTGTGAGATCACACCTGGGACGTAATACTTACTGTAGAATTGTCTAAAGAATAACTCCAGTATCTATGAAAACGCTATAGTGTGAGATCACACCTGGGACGTCATACTTACTGTAGCATTGTCTAAAGAATAACTCCAGTATCTATGAAACCTCTATAGTGTGAGATCACACCTGGGACGTCATACTTACTGTAGCATTGTCTAAAAAATAAAATCCTGTATCCATGAAACCAAAAGGAGCTGAAGGATAAAACAGTATTATGTTACTTTTACAATAAGAGTAGATATAAAGGGGATCAATCACATATCTGTCCATACACATTTTATTTGCTCACTTTAAGTTTGATTGTGTGCTGGTTTATCAGGTCCATTTCCTCTTTTATATAAGTCAAAACTCCTTTGCGTACACGTACACGTACATGTACCTGGAAGTTCCATGCGCTATATTTGAGATCCAGTAAGAATTTTGAAAGCTATTTAACAGTTGATAGGTGGATAAATATCCAGAAAGGTAATCAACACACCTGCGTAAAACAATATACATATTTTGGTTAATTGATTGAAAAATATTTAAAATGGTCTCAAGATTTGAAGATTTACAAAAATAAGTATAGTTATTAGTTTATACAATGATAAATGTTCATCTATGTGACTGCGATGTAGTTTTGAATTTGGTACATACAGATTTCACCTGAGATTTTACAGAAATCATAATTTAGCTAGCAAGTGCATGGTAATCGTTTTGAAATGTGACTATTTCAGATTATTAAAACTTCCTTCCAGTGTATAGCTGATTCGTGTTTGATTGATCTTTTGTAAACAATTAATGTTTAGATATATTTAGCATGTCAACTTTAGAGCTATTTTTATTTATTTTTTTATTTTACGAGGACAGTCACTTGAACAATACAAAAACTGTTTATCTGATACTGATTTATTTATGGTTTTCAAGTTGTCAAATAAAGAAGTTCACAAAACTTGAGGATTTGACGATTATATTTAACCTATAAATATAATTAAAAGACGAAAAAACAAAGCAGAGCTACTAAAGGAGACATCAAAACAAAAGGAAAGGCAACATGAACAAAAGGAATCATGTGTTGCTCATCATGTCTCGAATCTAGAGTTAGAATAAATATGATGCCGGCATGTCTGATGATAAATGGAGCTTTTATGTGCTTATGATGGGATAGGCCGATAGCACATATTGTAATTCTATGACCGTATACATAGGCGCAAGTCAAAATGTAACACCTGGTGAATTTAAGTTGCATATGTTGGAGACCTCTTGGACGCACGTAAGCTACGTATGGCGCGAGTGTAAAATAAATTTTGAAATCTTGGAATCAGACATCGTTAATATTACACCGATGTAGCAATGTTTGTATAAGGTTGGATATAGCTCAGTCACAAAGCACGATCACCGGGGTTAATGAATGTTTTGTTATCAACAATAAGATGTCATTCAGCTCACCAGGTAACATAGACAGAGCCACACAAGAAGAGCACTGCTTCGATTTCCATATGGCTGAAAGTCCGATGAAACGTTAACGATTCATTCATACATTATGCACTCAGAAATAATGCTTGAATTTTGCTCAGTGAAATAAGATGCTTGTCGACGTTTGCTCATGTAAAGTAAATGGTATGTTATTGAAGCCAGAATGATAGTTTTTATGGTACTTCATTGTCAGATATGAAAAGATACGTTAGTTTAAACAATATTTTATTCAATATAATCAACAATATTACAAGTACAACTGTAAATATGGGATGGGAAAACAAGCTTGGAGCTTATATTAATTCCTTTCCCAAAGATACGTTATTCAAAACTATTGTCACCAATATGAATTTGCTTTGGTAAAAAAATATGGTTGGATTTGAACGATTTTAATTTTCACTTTCGTATTCTGTGATGTAATAGTAACGTTCCCTGATCAGTACTTTGCTGTTGGTGACTATACATATTTATTAGCTCACCTGGCCCGAAGGGCCAAGTGAGCTTATGCCGCGGTGCGGCGTCCAGCGTCAATATTTTACTTTAAACAACTGCTTCTCAATAACCAAAACCCCCAGGGTATTGATATTGGGCCTGTAGCATGCTGGGATGAAGGGCTACCAAGTTTGTTCAAATGAATGACCTTGACCAATTTGCAGGGTCACAGGGTCAAATGTCTTAAAATCTTCCAACAACTTCTTCTCAATAACCAAAAGGCCCAGGGTATTGATATTGAGCCTTAAGCATGCAGGGATGAAGGGCTACCAAGTTTGTTCAAATGAATGACCTTGACCGACTTTCAAGGTCACAGGGGTCAAATGTCTTAAAATCTTCAAACAACTTCTTCTCAATAACCGAAAGGCACAGGGTACTGAAATTAGGCATGTAGCATGCTGGGATGAAGGACTGCCAAGTTTGTCCAAACGAATGACCTTGACTCACTTTCAAGGTCACAGGGGTCAAATTTCTTAAAATCTTCAAGCCACTACTCAATAACCAAACGGACCAGGGTACTAATATTGGGCCTGTAGCATGCTTGGATGAAGGACTACCAAGTTAGTTCAAATGAATGACCTTGACCCACTTTCAATAGGTTCTTTTGAATCAGACACTGATATTCTGCCTGTAGCTGTATTTTAGTCCACTTTTAAGATTACAAATGTGAGATCGATACCAGGTGAGCGATGCAGGCCCATTGGGTCTCTTGTTTAAAATAAGATCGATTCTTAAAAGTACTAACATAAAATTTCCTTTTGATCGGGTCCAAACATAAGTAAAGTGACATTTATGAACATTGCAGGCATGGCTTGGCTGTATCACGACATACTTTGATACGTTATCAGGATTTAATGCGACATCTTAATATGCAGAAATATTTTAACAGAAAACATACATAGCAATCCCATAATCGTGAGCTTTAAAAAGAATAACGGAAGTGATAATGTAGAGTTACGCTGAATACTTTTTATTCAAAAGTATTGAAGTGTTTGAAGAATTGAAGGGGTGAATTGGCTATTCTATGTATCAATCTGGGCATACATGTATAATCATTTACGAATACGTATACGCCTTGTCATGCATAAGAGAAGACTGTTATGAAAACTCGAAAACTAATTTGATCGCTCTATGGTACTGAGGTACTAAAGTAATCACTCAAAATACGAAATATAGTATCATCTATATAAACATTTATTAAACCATTGCAGAAAATCATATAAATAAATATTTACTTCAACATTTGATAAACTGCATGGTGAATAAACTGCAGAATTAGCCCGACGTTCATCTGGCCCAGACTTAGTCGTTTTGACATATATAGATGTCTGGTGTGGACTTATACATTATGACATATAGATGTCTGGTGTTGACTTATACATTATGACATATATATGTCTGGTGTGGACTTATACATTATGACATATATATATATGTCTTGTGTGGACTTAAACAGTATGACATACAGATGTCTGGTGTTGACTTAAACAGTATGACATACAGATGTCTGGTGTGGACTTATTCATTATGACATATATATGTCTGGTGTGGACTTATACAGAATGACATATAGATGTCTGGTGTTGACTTATACATTGTGACATATATATGTCTGGTGTGGACTTATACAGAATGACATATAGATGTCTGGTGTTGACTTATACATTGTGACATATATATGCCTGGTGTGGACTTATACATTATGACATATATATGTCTGGTGTGAATTATACATCATGACATATAGATGTCTGGTGTGGACTTATACATTATGACATATATATGTCTGGTGTGGACTTATACAGTATGACATATAGATGTCTGTTGTGTACTTATACATTATGACATATAGATGTCTGTTGTGGACTTATACATTATGGAATATATATGTCTGGTGTGGTCTTATACATTATGACATATAGATGTCTGGTGTTGACTTATACATTGTGACATATATATGCCTGGTGTGGACTTATACATTATGGAATATATATGTCTGGTGTGGACTTATACATTATGACATATAGATGTCTGTTGTGGACTTATACATTATGACATATATATATGTCGTGTGTGGTCTGGTGTGTGTCACACCAGACATCCTTTTGGCAAAATGCCAAAGTCCGGTGTCAGCCTGTCAGGGCCAAAGGAAACTCGGGCTACTGCAGAATATTCTTATATACTTTATTTCCTTATTTATCTTCGATTAGCCTACATTTCCCTCAGTCTATATATTTTGATAGGTTGCTGATGAAAACTCATCAATTGATCAGTGTTGATCAAATTCCTGTTCAGAAATGATGCTTAGTCAAGGGTTTTGATTGTTGCTCATATAACCTTCGCCAAGGCATTAAAACAAATTGATCAGACATTTACCCTTTCATCTTGAATGACTTCGACATGACTGTTGGTGAAGAGTAATGTGTTTGTCATTGTGGTCGTAACTGTAATAAAATACACAATTACTGCAGCGTCATTAATATGATGATCCAACACCCAGGGCCGGGAAGACACATAAAGAAAAATGTTGATACGAATCATAATATGAAGTGTTAGCACTGTACTGTGACAAACGAGGGGTATAAGATAATTACAACATGGTGTCACTGTAATGTAAATCATCTTTGGGTTTTCGGTTTTTTTCGTAATAACTTTCATATGATCAATTGTGTTGTTTCTAAGCGTTGTTAATGCATGTACTGTTCACGTGTGTACACGTAGTTGTCCTTAATTCCACTCATGAAAGTTCTTTTTTATATTTCTAACGAAAGTTACAGCAAGGTAGCATACGTCCTTGATGTATGACGTAGGCAGTGAAGCACGAATCAAACAGTTGCAGCTGTTAACATGTTCGCACGTGTACGTATAGTCATGTCACCGGCCTTTGCGTTCATAATGTTGTTCTTCACCCTAATGGATTTACAATGAATACTTGATTTATTTTGCTTAGAAGTTTATTTCATTTCAGCTGCAGATGGCCATATATCCTATTGCTAGTGTCATTTCCTTCAGACATTTATAGCATACGTTGCACGATGGAGACAATAGGTTTGGTTGTTGTAATGCTTGTCTAAGGGGAGGTACGTACCTTTAAAAAAAAACAATTAGAAGATTTTTTTATGTATACAAACACAGCTTAGTTTTTCTTAACTCTGATATCAGTAAATACGTTTTAGATTTCCTTGTAGTTTATTTCTTTATGTGTTGACTAGAATATATAGAATACTTTGTAGAGCAGTCATTTCGAGGCTCGTTGTAGTTTATTTCTTTGTGTTGTCTAGAATATATAGAATGATAAACCTTGGATGACTGGTGAAATTCGGCATAAATTAAGATATCAGAATAGATTACATAAAAGAGCTAAAAATAAAAATCGGGAACAAGATTGGGCAAAATTTAGAACTTGTCGCAATGACACTATACAAATTATTCGGCAATCCAAAGAAAATTACTTTAAGAAACTTCAAAATTGTCTTGCCGACAAAACAGTGCATCCAAGAAAATGGTGGCAGATAGCAAAATCTATAGGAAAAATGAATAACACTAGCACTAATTCTTATCCTCTAAAATCTAACAATAAAATATTAATCCATCCACAAGATAAAGCTGAGGCACTAAATAACTTCTTTACCACCATTGCCTCTGATATTACTGACACTAACCTACCTGATTTACCTCCCTTATGTCCATTTGAACTTTCTGACATTAACATTACTGAACAAGATATAACTGACCAATTTGACATTTTTAATAAAAACAAACCAGCTGGTCCTGATGGTATTTTACCTATGATTGTAAAGAACATTTCTGCTTCTTTAGTATACCCACTCAAACTATTATTTAATAGAACTTTATCTATTGGAGTAATACCTGATGTACTAAAAACGGCTAATGTTACTGCTCTCTATAAAGGTAAAGGAGATATCAGTGATCTCAATAATTATAGACCTATTGCTATTACATCTATTTTTATCAAAATGTTAG